CCACCACCACCACTATCCCTCCCTCTCTCACCACCACCACCAACAGTCTCCCTCCCTCACCACCACCACCAACACTCCTTGCGTCTCCCCCTCAATGCCTCCGTCCATCAATCACTGCTTCCCATCCCTCCTTCATGCCTTCAGGGTCAGTGGCCTGTTGCCATGTGAGGGCCCGCCGATACCAAAACAACCCCAATACCAACCTACGGTTATATCGACCACCAGACCGGTATATGAGGCTCCAAATACCAGTTTCCCAAACCGGTCGTTATTACCGGCAGATCAGTATATAAGAGGCCATTAAATTGAATGGATACTATACAATTTACGCTGTTAAAGGGTTAATCCTTTAGCAAATTGTACAACTTGAGTAAATGTCGCTGAACTGCGCACATCGTATACAGTATATACAATTGAGGGCAATATGCACGATTTAGATGTCCCCCATGTGATGTGAATAGGGTTCACATCAGCTTCCTCAGGGCTCTAGTAAACAGACACCATTTTTTCTCTTAAATCGTGGGTAACATTCCGGGATGTGAGAGCCTCAGTACTGAGTGACCAACGAAGACTGGTGCACACAGCATGAGCTAACAGCATTGCTGTTCAGCTTGTGACCATAGCTTCGCCTAAAAATTTCAAAATATATATGTAACTGCTATTATTTAGCGATGATAGTATCACAGAAGACCTCTGACTGTGATAAAAATGACCAGCAATCTGATAATGGCAGGATTGTGGTGATAATTAGTGCTGTACATAGTATGGTGGGAGGAGTAATCTTGGTAAGGGAGAGAGGTAGCATCGTCTGTTGACTATTGTGTGGCAACCTGTTATTGTCTAGACTCACCATACTAACTTAATGATTCGCTATGATGAACACAAATGTAGATACCGTACTTATATATAATGTGTGTACATAGTGTAATAACAGCAAAAGAAATATGTTGGGAGGAGCCATTTTGGCGAGGGAGGTGGCGTCGTCTGCTGATGTGACTTCTCATGCTGTGTAGGGTGGCCACTATGCTGTTTGGACACCATACCAGCTTAGTTGTACAGTTATGGTGAACAAAACATGCAGATACTTATATATAACATGTGTATATAGTGTATTAACAGCACAAACAGCATGGTTGGAGGAGGAATGTTGGTGAGGGAGGGAGGGAGGAAGAAAGGGAGCGTCAGCTGACTGCATTCACCTACCTATTTGTATTCACCTATTTGTGCTTGCAGGGGTTGAGCTCTGCTCTTTCAGCCTGCCTCTCAACTATCAATCAACTGTTACTAACTATTAACTAATTTTTTTGTTTATTTTTCTCCACACACACACACATACCCAAGAAGCAGCCTTTAGCAGCTGTCTTACTCCTAGGTACCTATTTACTGCTAGATAACAGGAGCATCAGGGTTACAGAAACTATGTCCCTCTGTCTCCGCTGGGTGCGGGGATTGAACCCCGGTCCCTAGGTCCACGAGTCTAAAGCACTGTCCACTCGGCCACCCAGCCCCGTGTGTGGCGACCTCTGTTATTGTCTGAACTCACCATACCAGCTTAGTGGTTTGCTATGGTGAACACAAATGTAAATAGAGTGGTACCTTTGTTCACGATCGTAATCCGTTTTCAGAGACACGTCGTCATCCAAAAATTCGTCACTCAAAACAAATTTTCCCCTAAGAAATAATGTAAATTGAATTAATCCATTCCACACCCCCAAAAATATTAACTTAAAAATACATTTTATACAGAATACTACTCATTTTTTCATACACAAAACAATTAGGTATAAATATAAACCATAAATAAAATAAGTGAACATTTAACTGCACTTTACCTTTACTGAAGACTCTTGTTGGTGTATGGGGAGACGGACAAGGAGCGGGGTTGGTGTATGGGGAGGAGGAGTGGGGGGGGGGTGAGACCGTCTCTTGCTCGCGCATTCATATCTGCATCACTGTTTCCAACTTTCCTTTCAAGCATTTCACTGCCTCTGTTATGTGGGAGCCAGTCAGAACCAGTCACTTACAGTCATGCATGTCAATCATTCACAGTTGCGTAACAACCGGTTAGGCATTTACAGTCAATCAGCCATTTACAGTCAGTAAGCAACAAGAGTTTAATATCAGGCAGCAGTCTGAGGCAGTCTGCCTCCAATCCACCAGTTGGTAGGAAAGAAGCGTTTTGTATTAATAAGATCCAGATGTGGCAGGGAGGGTACAGCTGGGGGAGGGGGCAGAGAGGGGATGGAGATAGTGGGGAGGGTCCTGTGGCAGTATGGGGGTAGTGGGGAGGGGGATGGAGATAGCATGTATCGAGGGTCCGGTTGTGGTATGGGGTAGCGGGGAGAGGGGCGGGCGGAGTGGGGGATGGAGGTTCTCCCCACCATCCTTCCAGTCCCCCCCCACCTGCCTATCCATCCAATTCCACCCGATATCTATCCATCCAGTTCCCCCCCTATCTATCCATCCAGTTCCCCCCCACTATCCATTCCCCCCCACCATCCATCCATCCTTCCAATCCCCCCACCATCCATCCATCCTTCATATCCCCCCACCATCCATCCAATCCCCCCACCATCCATCCAATCCCCCCACCATCCATCCATCCATCCAATCCCCCCACCATCCATCCATCCATCCAGTCCCCCCACCATCCATCCATCCATCCAGTCCCCCCACCATCCATCCATCCATCCAGTCCCCCCACCATCCATCCAGTCCCCCCACCATCCATCCAGTCCCCCCACCATCCATTCAGTCCCCCCACCATCCATCCAGTCCCCCTTCACTATCCATCCATCCACCCCCCTATCTATCCATCCAGTCCCCTCACCATCCATCTACCCCCCCTATCCTTTCATTCAGTCCCCCCTCATCATCCATCTACTCCCTATCTATCTATCCATCCAGTCCCTCACCATCCATCCAGTCTTCTCACCATCCATCCTGGGACCCCATGGCGTGATACGTAAGAACTTTTATGTTAAGAAACAAAAAACAGACAATGAAATTCTTCACAAAGAATTCAAAGCGCGGCCGTGGTTGTCACTACGCGCGATATACTTGTAAACAAACTGAGAGCGCCTGGCCTCACGCCCCGAGCACCACGTGCTCATTTGACCCATACGTGTACGAACAGACATCGTCTTCCAAAAAATTTGTCTTCTAGGGCAGTCATCAACCGAGGTTCCACTGTACAGTACTTATATATAACCTCTGTATATAGTGTAATAACAGCAAAAACAGTATGGTAGGAGGAGGAATGTCAGCAAGTGAGGTGTTGGTGAAGGAGGTGGCATCTGTTAGCTGGAGTGTGGCGGCCACTCTTGTTGTTTGGACTCACCATACTAACTTAGTGGTTCGTTATGGTGAACAACACATGCAGATACTTATACTGTATATAACATGTCTATATTGTGTAATAACAGCAAAACTATTTGTTTATTGTTTTATGAACATAATTGAATCACTAATATGCACACCATACTTTTGAGTATAGCGATGGTTCACACATTATATAAATATATCACACTACACACTACTGTATTGAATAATAATGCTGAAAAAAATCAATTAGAGAGACTGAAATAATTAGGTAATAATATCTTTGTGGCAACTCCCGCCTGAGAGCGAGGGTGGAGCAGACCACCTCCGACGCTTACTCTGTCAACGCCTCAATTTTGCCAGACGTCCTCGCCCTAATGCAGCCAAAATGTCACGATTTTTTTTATTATGTTTCCCGTGATCAGGGAACGCATTTTAATAATCTTAAAAGAAAAAAAATAATTTTTTGCTTGCGCCTAGCGGTGTTGCAGGCAATAACCCCAAGCGCCTCCCAAGGGTTAGCTTACTCAACAAAAAATTGCCTGCTTACCAAAGCTTTGCTGTTAACCCTCCACATCACTTGTAACTTACTTTTCAGCAATGTGTTTCTCTTAAGCACCGTCAGGTCCTCAGAGTGGTAAACTAGCAAAAGTTTTACTTTAAAATCTCGACTTGCATTTCCACACAAAAGTCAGTCTGTCCTTCATTGGCTCGCGTCCTGGCAATGACTTCTCCTCTTGAGTGATATAGGTCCTCTCTGGCATCATTTTCCATGACAAACCTGTCTTATCACAGCTGAACACTTGTTGGGAATGAAACCCTCAGCCTCTACATATTCCCTAAACTCAATAACAAAATTTTTGGCAGCATCCTTGTTAGAACTGGCAGCTTCCCCATGCCTCACTACACTGTGAATGTCACTTCTCTTAAATTTCTCATACTACCCATGACTGACTTTGAATACATCACTACTAGCACTCATTCCAGGGTTTTTATGTAAGAGATCACCATGCAGTTGTTTAGCTTTCTCACAAATGATGACCTCAGACACAATGTCACCAGCCATCTGTCATTCATTTATCAAAATCAATAATAATTTCTCAACCTCTTCAATTGTTTGTGATCACTGTTTCATAACTACTTTCACTTTCATCAACCTACCGATCTTGTCACTCCTGGCTTGTACTCATCAACCTACCGATCTTGTCACTCCTGGCTTGTACTCATCAACCTACCGATCTTGTCACTCCTGGCTTGTACTCATCAACCTACCGATCTTGTCACTCCTGGCTTGTACTCATCAACCTACCGATCTTGTCACTCCTGGCTTGTACTCATCAACCTACCGATCTTGTCACTCCTGGCTTGTACTCATCAACCTACCGATCTTGTCACTCCTGGCTTGTACTCATCAACCTACCGATCTTGTCACTCCTGGCTTGTACTCATCAACCTACCGATCTTGTCACTCCTGGCTTGTACTCATCAACCTACCGATCTTGTCACTCCTGGCTTGTACTCATCAACCTACCGATCTTGTCACTCCTGGCTTGTACTCATCAACCTACCGATCTTGTCACTCCTGGCTTGTACTCATCAACCTACCGATCTTGTCACTCCTGGCTTGTACTCATCAACCTACTGATCTTGTCACTCTTGGCTTGTACTCATCAACCTACCGATCTTGTAACTCCTGGCTTGTACTCAACCCATGGTGGCAACACAAGCGTTCGGTTCACACCCTTGGCAAATCCAAGAGCTCCTAGGAAATGGTCAGCTTGATTTCCAAATCGGCCTGTGCAAAAATTTTAATTTAATGTTATAGTATGATAAAATTTGTATTTTACTTAAATAATTTATCACCCATTATCATCAAAGCCTCTTCTTTAATTAAACTGAACTTCTTTTGAATAATTTGCAAACATGTACTGAATACAGGAGTATATAAAAAACTAAAATATTTGACTGAATAGTCCCTATATTAGCCTTCAATTAGCATTTCACACACTAGATGCCAATACAAATACAATACTATACTGTATGTGTAAAAACATGTAAATACTTTATATTTACAGTCCTTGCATGAAACTTTATCTAAAAATATTTAGTAATTAAGACATTTTAATTTTAGGTGAACACAAAGTGCTGACAATGTAGAGCAGAGAGCTGATCATTGACCTAATAAAAAAAATCATTAACCATTTTTATCATAGTAGCTCAAAAGTTATCCCCCAAATTATCATATCTCAGGACCACTCTATTTACAAAAGTAACCTTTTTTAAGTTTTTTGGCAACCTTTGTGAATGGGCATAGAGCCAATGTGAGGCATGGGGCCAGTGTGGTGTGGGGGGGGGGGGGGGGGCGGATCAGTGTGTGTGTGTGGGGGGGGGCGGATCAGTGTGGTGTGTAGCGTGGGGGGGGGGGGGGCGGATCAGTGTGGTGTGTGTGGGGGGGGTCAGTGTGATGGTGTGTGGGGGGGGTGTCAGTGTGATGGTGTGTGGGGGGGGTGTCAGTGTGATGGTGTGTGGGGGGGGGGTTGTCAGGTGGTGGTGAGTGGGGGGGGGTGTCAGGTGGTGGTGAGTGGGGGGGGGGGGTGTCAGGTGGTGGTGAGTGGGGGGGGGGTGTCAGGTGGTGGTGAGTGGGGGGGGGGGGTGTCAGGTGGTGGTGAGTGGGGGGGGGGTGTCAGGTGGTGGTGAGTGGGGGGGGGGTGTCAGTGTGGTGGTGTGTGGGGGGGGGTGTCAGGTGGTGGTGAGTGGGGGGGGGGTGTCAGTGTGGTGGTGTGTGGGGGGGGGGGGTGTCAGTGTGGTGGTGTGTGTGTGGGGGGGTGTCAGGGTTGAGCTTTGCTCTTTCAACCCGCCTCTCAACTGTCAATCAACTGTTTACTAACTACTATTTTTTTTTTTCCCCCCCACACCACACACACACACACACACCCCAGGAAGCAGCCTGTGGCAGCTGACTAACTCCCAGGTACCTATTTACTGCTAGGTAACAGGGGCATTCAGGGTGAAAGAAACTTTGCCCATTTGTTTCTGCCTCGTGCGGGAATCGAACCCGCGCCACAGAATTACGAATCCTGCGCGCTATCCACCAGGCTACGAGGCCCCTTGCTATGAGGGGTCAGTGTGGTGTGTGTGTGTGGGGGGGAGGGGGGTCAGTGTGGTGTGTGTGTGTGGGGGGGGAGGGGGGGTCAGTGTGGTGTGTGTGTGTGTGGGGGGGAGGGGGGGTCAGTGTGGTGTGTGTGTGTGGGGGAGGGGGGTTAGTGTGATGTGTGTGTGTGTGTGTGTGTGTGGGGGAGGGGGGTCAGTGTGGTGTGTGTGTGTGGGGGAGGGGGGTCAGTGTGGTGTGTGTGTGTGTGTGGGGGAGGGGGGTCAGTGTGTGTGTGTGTGTGTGTGTGTGGGGGAGGGGGGTCAGTGTGGTGTGTGTGTGTGTGTGGGGGAGGGGGGTCAGTGTGGTGTGTGTGTGTGTGTGTGGGGGAGGGGGGTCAGTGTGGTGTGTGTGTGTGTGGGGGAGGGGGGTCAGTGTGGTGTGTGTGTGGGGGAGGGGGGTCTGTGTGGGGGAGGGGGGTCAGTGTGGTGTGTGTGTGTGTGTGTGGGGGAGGGGGGGTCAGTATGGTGTGTGTGTGGGGGGGGGGGGGGAGTGTGTGGTGTGTGTGTGGGGGGGGGGGGGTCAGTATGGTATGGTGTGTGTGTGGGGGGGGGGGGGAGGGGGTCAGTGTGGTGTGTGGGGGGGTCAGTGTGGTGTGTGGGGGGGGTCAGTGTGTGTGTGTGTGGGGGGGTCAGTGTGGTGTGTGGGGGGGGTCAGTGTGGTGTGTGTGGGGGGGTCAGTGTGGTGTGTGTGGGGGGGGTCAGTGTGGTGTGTGGGGGGGTCAGTGTGGTGTGGGGGGGGTCAGTGTGGTGTGTGGGGGGGGGGGTCAGTGTGGTGGGGGGGGGGGGGTCAGTGTGTGGTGGGGGGGTCAGTGTGGGGGGGGGTCAGTGTGGTGTGTGGGGGGGGGTCAGTGTGGTGTGTGGGGGGGGTCAGTGTGGTGTGTGGGGGGGGTCAGTGTGGTGTGTGGGGGGGGGTCAGTGTGGTGTGTGGGGGGGGTCAGTGTGGTGGTGTGGGGGGGTCAGTGTGGTGTGTGGGGGGGGTCAGTGTGGTGTGTGGGGGGGGGTCAGTGTGGTGTGTGGGGGGGGTCAGTGTGGTGTGTGGGGGGGGTCAGTGTGGTGTGTGGGGGGGGTCAGTGTGGTGTGTGGGGGGGTCAGTGTGGTGTGTGGGGGGGTCAGTGTGGTGTGTGGGGGGGTCAGTGTCAGTGTGGTGTGGTGTGTGGGGGGGTCAGTGTGGTGTGTGGGGGGGTCAGTGTGGTGTGTGGGGGGGGGTCAGTGTGGTGTGTGGGGGGGTCAGTGTGGTGTGTGGGGGGGTCAGTGTGGTGTGTGGGGGGTCAGTGTGGTGTGTGAGGGGTCAGTGTGTGGTGTGTGTGGGGTCAGTGTGTGGTGTGTGTGGGGTCAGTGTGTGGGTGTGTGTGGGGTCAGTGTGTGGTGTGTGTGGGGTCAGTGTGTGGGGTCAGTGTGTGGGGTCAGTGTGTGGGGTCAGTGTGTGGGGTCAGTGTGTGGGGTCAGTGAGGGGTCAGTGTGTGGGGTCAGTGTGTGGGGTCAGTGTGTGGGGTCAGTGTGTGGGGTCAGTGTGTGGGGTCAGTGTGGGGTCAGTGTGTGGGGTCAGTGTGTGGGGTCAGTGTGTGGGGTCAGTGTGGGGTCTGTGTGTGGGGTCAGTGTGTGGGGTCAGTGTGTGGGGTCAGTGTGTGGGGTGTGTGTGGGGTCGGTGTGTGTGTGGGGGGTGTGTGGTGTGTGTGGGGGGTCAGTGTGTGTGTGTGGGGTCGGTGTGTGTGTGGGGTCAGTGTGTGGTGTGTGTGTGGGGTCAGTGTGTGGTGTGTGTGTGGGGTCAGTGTGTGGTGTGTGTGTGGGGTCAGTGTGTGGTGTGTGTGTGGGGTCAGTGTGTGTGTGTGGGGTCAGTGGTGTGTGTGTGGGTCAGTGTGTGTGTGTGGGGTCAGTGTGTGGTGTGTGTGTGTGGGGTCAGTGTGTGGTGTGTGTGTGTGGGGTCAGTGTGTGGTGTGTGTGTGTGGGGTCAGTGTGTGGTGTGTGTGTGTGGGGTCAGTGTGTGGTGTGTGTGTGTGGGGTCAGTGTGTGGTGTGTGTGTGTGGGGTCAGTGTGTGGTGTGTGTGTGTGGGGTCAGTGTGTGGTGTGTGTGTGTGGGGTCAGTGTGTGGTGTGTGTGTGTGGGGTCAGTGTGTGGTGTGTGTGTGTGGGGTCAGTGTGTGGTGTGTGTGTGTGGGGGGTCAGTGGGGTGTGTGTGTGGTGTGTGTGTGTGTGGGGTCAGTGTGTGTGGTGTGTGTGTGTGGGGTCAGTGTGTGGTGTGTGTGTGTGGGGTCAGTGTGTGGTGTGTGTGTGTGGGGTCAGTGTGTGGTGTGTGTGTGTGGGGTCAGTGTGTGGTGTGTGTGTGTGGGGTCAGTGTGTGGTGTGTGTGTGTGGGGTCAGTGTGTGGTGTGTGTGTGTGGGGTCAGTGTGTGGGTGTGTGTGTGTGGGGTCAGTGTGTGGTGTGTGTGTGTGGGGTCAGTGTGTGGTGTGTGTGTGTGGGGTCAGTGTGTGGTGTGTGTGTGTGGGGTCAGTGTGTGGTGTGTGTGTGTGGGGTCAGTGTGTGGTGTGTGTGTGTGGGGTCAGTGTGTGGTGTGTGTGTGTGGGGTCAGTGTGTGGTGTGTGTGTGTGGGGTCAGTGTGTGGTGTGTGTGTGTGGGGTCAGTGTGTGGTGTGTGTGTGTGGGGTCAGTGTGTGTGTGTGTGTGTGGGGTCAGTGTGTGGTGTGTGTGTGTGGGGTCAGTGTGTGGTGTGTGTGTGTGGGGTCAGTGTGTGGTGTGTGTGTGTGGGGTCAGTGTGTGGTGTGTGTGTGTGGGGTCAGTGTGTGGTGTGTGTGTGTGGGGTCAGTGTGTGGTGTGTGTGTGTGGGGTCAGTGTGTGGTGTGTGTGTGTGGGGTCAGTGTGTGGTGTGTGTGTGTGGGGTCAGTGTGTGGTGTGTGTGTGTGTCAGTGTGGGGTCAGTGTGTGGGGTCAGTGTGTGTGTGTGTGGGGTCAGTGTGGGGTCAGTGTGTGGGGTGTGTGTGGTGTGTGTGTGTGGGGTCAGTGTGTGGTGTGTGTGTGTGGGGTCAGTGTGTGGTGTGTGTGTGTGGGGTCAGTGTGTGGTGTGTGTGTGTGGGGTCAGTGTGTGGTGTGTGTGTGTGGGGTCAGTGTGTGGTGTGTGTGTGTGGGGTCAGTGTGTGGTGTGTGTGTGTGGGGTCAGTGTGTGGTGTGTGTGTGTGGGGTCAGTGTGTGGTGTGTGTGTGTGGGGTCAGTGTGTGGTGTGTGTGTGTGGGGTCAGTGTGTGGTGTGTGTGTGTGGGGTCAGTGTGTGTGTGTGTGTGTGGGGTCAGTGTGTGGTGTGTGTGTGTGGGGTCAGTGTGTGGTGTGTGTGTGTGGGGTCAGTGTGTGGTGTGTGTGTGTGGGGTCAGTGTGTGGTGTGTGTGTGTGGGGTCAGTGTGTGGTGTGTGTGTGTGGGGTCAGTGTGTGGTGTGTGTGTGTGGGGTCAGTGTGTGGTGTGTGTGTGGGGTCAGTGTGGGTGTGTGTGTGTGGGGTCAGTGTGTGTGTGTGTGTGGGGTCAGTGTGTGTGTGTGTGTGTGTGGGGTCAGTGTGTGGTGTGTGTGTGTGGGGTCAGTGTGTGGTGTGTGTGTGTGGGGTCAGTGTGTGGTGTGTGTGTGTGTGGGGTCAGTGTGTGGTGTGTGTGTGTGTGGGGTCAGTGTGTGGTGTGTGTGTGTGGGGTCAGTGTGTGGTGTGTGTGTGTGGGGTCAGTGTGTGGTGTGTGTGTGTGGGGTCAGTGTGTGGTGTGTGTGTGTGGGGTCAGTGTGTGGTGTGTGTGTGTGGGGTCAGTGTGTGGTGTGTGTGTGTGGGGTCAGTGTGTGGTGTGTGTGTGTGGGGTCAGTGTGTGGTGTGTGTGTGGGGTCAGTGTGTGGTGTGTGTGTGGGGTCAGTGTGTGGTGTGTGTGTGGGGTCAGTGTGTGGTGTGTGTGTGGGGTCAGTGTGTGGTGTGTGTGTGGGGTCAGTGTGTGGTGTGTGTGTGGGGTCAGTGTGTGGTGTGTGTGGGGTCAGTGTGTGGTGTGTGTGTGGGGTCAGTGTGTGGTGTGTGTGGGGTCAGTGTGTGGTGTGTGTGGGGTCAGTGTGTGGTGTGTGTGCACTCCACCTTGCTTTCCACGCACCAGGTAATTACCAAAGTGTAATTACCTAAGTGTAGTTACAGGATGAGAGCTACGCTCGTGGTGTCCCGTCTTCCCAGCACTCTTTGTCATATAATGCTTTGAAACTACTGACGGTCTTGGCCTCCACCACCTTCTCACCTAACTTGCTCCAACCGTCTACCACTCTGTTTGCGAAAGTGAATTTTCTTATATTTCTTCGGCATCTGTGTTTAGCTAGTTTAAATCTATGACCTCTTGTTCTTAAAGTTCCAGGTCTCAGGAAATCTTCCCTATCGATTTTATCAATTCCTGTTACTATTTTGTATGTAGTGATCATATCACCTCTTTTTCTTCTGTCTTCTAGTTTTGACATATTTAATGCCTCTAACCTCTCCTCGTAGCTCTTGCCCTTCAGTTCTGGGAGCCACTTAGTAGCATGTCTTTGCAACTTTTCCAGTTTCTTGATGTGCTGCTTAAGATATGGGCACCACACATGGTGTGGGGGTCAGTGTGTGGTGTGTGGGGGTCAGTGTATGGTGTGTGGGGGCAAGTGTGTTGGGGCAAGTGTGGGGGGGGGGGGGCAAGTGTGGGGGGGGGGGGCAAGTGTGGGGGGGGGCAAGTGTGGGGGGGGGCAAGTGTGGGGGGGGGCAAGTGTGGGGGGGGGGGGCAAGTGTGGGGGGGGCAAGTGTGGGGGGGGCAAGTGTGGGGGGGCAAGTGTGGGGGGGGCAAGTGTGGGGGGGGCAAGTGTGGGGGGGGCAAGTGTGGGGGGGGGCAAGTGTGGGGGGGGGGGCAAGTGTGGGGGGGGGCAAGTGTGGGGGGGGCAAGTGTGGGGGGGGGCAAGTGTGGGGGGGGCAAGTGTGGGGGGGGGGCAAGTGTGGGGGGGGGTGTGGGGGGGGGCAAGTGTGGGGGGGGGCAAGTGTGTGGGGGGGGGCAAGTGTGGGGGGGGGCAAGTGTGGGGGGGGGGCAAGTGTGGGGGGGGGCAAGTGTGGGGGGGGGGCAAGTGTTGGGGGGGGCAAGTGTTGGGGGGGGGGCAAGTGTGGGGGGGGGGGGGGGGCAAGTGTTGGGGGGGGGGGCAAGTGTTGGGGGGGGGGCAAGTGTGGGGGGGGGGGGGGGGGGCAAGTGTGGGGGGGGGCAAGTGTGGGGGGGGGGCAAGTGTTGGGGGGGGGGCAAGTGTTGGGGGGGGCAAGTGTTGGGGGGGGGGGCAAGTGTGGGGGGGGGGCAAGTGTGGGGGGGGCAAGTGTGGGGGGGGGGCAAGTGTGGGGGGGGGCAAGTGTGGGGGGGGGGCAAGTGTGCAAGGGGGGGGGGCAAGTGTGGGGGGGGGCAAGTGTGGGGGGGGGCAAGTGTGGGGGGGCGAGTGTGGGGGGGCGAGTGTGGGCCAAGTGTGGGGTCAGTATGGGTGTAGAGCCATTGTGGAGTGCGGGGGGCCAGCGTGGGTGCGGGGGGCCAGCGTGGGTGCGGGGAACCAGCGTGGGTGCGGGGAACCAGCGTGGGTGCGGGGGGCCAGCGTGGGTGCGGGGGGCCAGCGTGGGTGCGGGGGGCCAGCGTGGGTGCGGGGGGCCAGCGTGGGTGCGGGAGGCCAGCGTGGGTGCGGGGGGCCAGCGTGGGTGCGGGGGGCCAGCGTGGGTGCGGGGCCAGAGTGGGTGCGGGGCCAGAGTGGGTGCGGGGCCAGAGTGGGTGCGGGGCCAGAGTGGGTGTGGGGCCAGAGTGGGTGCGGGGGGCCAGAGTGGGTGCAGGGGCCAGTGTGGTGTTTGGGACAACTGTGGAGCAGGTGTGGGCCCAGTATGAATGTGGGGCTAGCATGGATGTGGGAGCCAGCATGGGCGGGGGGCCAGCGTGGGCGAGGGGGGGCCAGCGTGGGCGAGGGGGGGCCAGCGTGGGCGAGGGGGGCCAGCGTGGGCGAGGGGGGGCCAGCGTGGGCGAGGGGGGGCCAGCGTGGGCGAGGGGGGGCCAGCGTGGGCGAGGGGGGGGCCAGCGTGGGCAAGGGGGGGCCAGCGTGGGCAAGGGGGGGCCAGCGTGGGCAAGGGGGGGCCAGCGTGGGCGAGGGGGGGCCAGCGTGGGCGAGGGGGGGCCAGCGTGGGCGAGGGGGGGCCAGCGTGGGCGAGGGGGGGCCAGCGTGGGCGAGGGGGGGCCAGCGTGGGCGAGGGGGGGCCAGCGTGGGCGAGGGGGGGCCAGCGTGGGCGCGGGGGGTCAGCGTGGGCGCGGGGGGCCAGCGTGGGCGCGGGGGGGCCAGCATGGGCGCGGGGGGCCAGCGTGGGTGCAGGGGGCCTGCATGGGTGTGGGGGCCAGCGTGGGTGTGGGGCCAGTGTATGTATTCACCTAGTTGTGCTTGCGTGGGTTGAGCTCTGCTCTTTCGGCCCGCCTCTCAACAGTCAATCAACTGTTACTATTTGTTTTCACCCCCCCCCCCAAGGAAGCAGCCCATAACAGCTGTCTAACTCCCAGGTACCTATTTACTGCTAGGTAAAAGGGGCATCAGGTGTGGGGTATTGTGAGCATGGGGGCCAGTGTGGAACCATTGTGGGTGCGTCCGTCTAATTACCCAAAGTTACTCAAAGCTTCCTAATAAGCTACCCAAAACTTCCTAACATTACGTTAATAATGAATAAATATAATATATTTATTCATTATAATGTTGGTGCTGAATGTAGAACATGGAAAAACATATTTTTACTCTGAAAAAGTATAATTTCATAACGAAATTAGACGAAAATAAGGTGCTGGTGATGCCAAAGCAAGTCGACGGTCCAAGCGACAATGTTGTGGAGCGACTTATCCAAGACACATTGTTGCTTGGAGTGTGTTTGCTGGCATATCAACCTTCTGTACCTACCTAACCTAAACAACCTACCTAACTAAACCTAACCTATCCAAATATAACTTAATATAACCTGTAGACAACAATATATCTTGGATAATTCGCTCCACAACATTGTCGCTTGGATTGTCGACTTCCTATGGCCTCTCATGCCACTTAGTTTATAATAATAATACTGTATTTTATTCACGAAAAGTACATAGAAGATGAGTTACAAACATAATGTTGGATTTATATACAGAGCTAGTACATACAATACCTAAAGCCACTAATACACATAACATTTCGGGCAAACGAAATTTCGTTATAAACTTATATTATTTCAGAGTAGTAATATGTTTTTTTTCATGTTCTACCTCCAGCACCTACGTTATAGTGAGTAAATATATCATATTTCTTCATTACTTACGCAATACTAGGAAGCTTAGGATAGCTTTGGGTAATTAGACAGGCCATTGTGGGTGTAATTGAGCCAACATAGGTGTGGGTAAGTGTGGAGCCAGCATGGGTGTGGGGACGCTATAATACTCACCCATACAGGGGCAGTAGAGAATGTAGCCATTGTGGTCAATGTCAAGAGAAAGGGTCGAGGCACACAATAACAAGACAATAACAAGCTCACGAGTCTTGGCGACCACCAACGTATCCCCCCACGCCATGTTGTTGTTGTGAGACGGGGGACTGGTCAAGTCGTCTACTGCAGTTTCGGATACCGTACTAGAAACATCTTCGTTCACTGAGAAGTTTGTACATACGAACCATTTCGTTCGTATATGCGCTGGTTTGTGTTCGCTACTGTTCTCGTCTGAATAAATACATGACACTTCATGTTGACCAGACCACACACTAGAAGGCGAAGAGACGACGACGTTTCGGTCCATCCTGGACCATTCTCAACTCGAAACGTCATCGTCCCTTCATCTTCTAGTGTGTGGTCTGGTCAACTTTAGCCACGTTATTGTGACTCATCGCCTGCACATGGCACTTCATATAATTATCGCTTCCATTAAAATTGCTTAGCGCACTGTTTGTATTACTTTGTTAACAAAGCGCACTCTTATCAGAGAAGGGAAGGGAAGAGAACTCTCAGGGGGAGAAAGCGCCAAGCCATAAAGACTATACAGTATAACACTTGGAAGGGGTCAGGTAAACGATTTGGGATGGCACGGGAGGAGTGAAGGAATGGCGCCCAATCATTTGGACGGTCGGGGATTGAACTCTTATCATGGGGTGCATAATAAATGAACTAAACTAAACTAACTATCAGAGAAGACATCCATTATTAGAATAACAAGGTGTAAACCATACTCCTTACAGTTGAAATCTATTTATATATATACAAGAAAATACATTGGGTTGTGAGAGTACATAACATTTGTTTTCTGATCAGGGGGAAAAAGACACAGGCAGTTTTGGGGGCTTAATTTATTAGTAAATTAAATTCTGCAAAACATGTAAATAATATAAGTAGGAATTAACAAATGTAACATGTCCATGTCTGAGTACTAATATTTAACTTAAAATGTACCGCTTAGCCTATAGTGACATATGGCTTAGCCTAGTGACATGGCAAACACGTTCTGCAGAAACCTAACGGCAGATGAAATGTAATTAGAACTAGGTATAACAGTCAGGACACAAAGGGGAAATAAAGTGTATAGACACATATAACACTTAACGGAGCCCGACCAAGACATAATGGTAAATCATAGAATTAATAGGCGGGCAGAAAATACCTAGTGACTGGGGAAAAACTGATATGACAAATGGGAGACGTTTTTCCCAGGGCGTGAGGCCGGCCGCCAAGGAATAAGGAGAAGGGTTTCCTGACTAACGGTAGGGCTTACTAGCACCTAGACTGGGCAAAGTATTAGCTGCGGACAGCGGGACACTTGGGGACCGGCGCTGCACCCCCCTCCCCCCCTCCCCACTTGCGGTGGGGAAGACTAGAGGGACACTGGCACAAAGCATGACTGGGAACTGCCACTTGCATGAAGGGGAGGCGGGTGGGAGTTTCGAGTGCTGCGACGGGTAGGGCGGAGTGAGAGAGAGCCCAATCAATCAATCAATTAAATATAGGTCAAGTTACCCTAATGGGTGAGCGTGGAAGTGGGGATAGGGGAAGAATTTGTGGGGGTGAGAGGAAAGGTTTTCAGTATGAGGTAAAGTGCCAGGGCTAGACCCAGCTGCATGGCATTGAAATCGTTATGACCAGACTAGGCAATGCAGGCAAGGAATCGGATCTTTGTGACAACATTTCGTCTTTCTGAGCACCCACGGAGATAGCAGCCCTCAGCTGGGTGTGCCCTGGAGGCTCACACCTGATGTGATCTTAGATTTGCTAATCAGCATCGTGCCCCCACCCAAGACACCAGAAAACGGGAGCTAGCTGGTCCCCCCCCTAAAGAGGGGGGTGGAGAAGAGTTAGGAGGCTATAGTTGAAAGTTTGGTGATATGAGTAGTGGTATATTAGAGGAGAGGGGTCATTTAAAGGACGGAGCAGGAGGTGGATCGTCGATCAGGTTAAAGAGGTTGTGCGTACGTATGTCTGGGTCTGCTTAGGACGTTTCTGAGGAACGCGTCGTAGTTGTCATGATAGGTGAGAATTCTATTAATCTGTTTCCTCCCCATAGTATCCCAGGTTATGTTCAGAGGCGGGATGTTCGCCCACTCATGCAGGGCCTCACTAGTGGTGAAGTCCTGCCAAAGGGTATCGAACACCCATCTCAGAGCCCTGTTCTGGGTACGCTGGAGTTTCTTCCTATTTTCTGATCAGGGGGAAAAAGATACTGACAGTATGGGGCTTAAATGTTTATTGATAAAATAAATTCTGCAGAATATGTAGATATATAAAGTAAGAATTAACAAAAGTAACAATTCCAAGTCCGAGGACTAGATATTTAACTTAAAAGGTACACCCGTAGTAAGTATGAGATAAGCTTAGCCTAGTGACATGAAAACGAAATCTGCAGAAACCTAAAGCTTAACTGGTACTAGAATTAAGGCCGTGTGCAAATGTGTAGTAATTATATAACACTAGGATATAACAGGCAGGACACAAAGAGTAACTAACTCCAGTCCTGATCCCCTTGCTCTAAATGCCACAGTAAATACTGAGCTAAATAAAGTCCATCTGTGGCTAACTGCCAACAAACTCACCCTTAACATTGACAAAACTTTCTATATTCTGTTTGGCAATAAATCCTCTAATCAAATAAATCTCAAAATAAACAATACCCAAATTTGTAACAAATTAGATGGCAAATTCCTTGGCATTCTCATTGACCACAAGCTGAATTTCCAGGGACACATTCTAAACATATCAAAAAAGTTTCAAAAACTGTGGGCATTCTTTCTAAGATCAGATATTATGTACCACGCCCTGCCCTGGTGACTCTCTATTACTCCCTTATCTATCCATATCTCAACTATGGTATTTGTGCTTGGGGCTCTACTACCCAAAATCACTTACGTCCTCTAATTACTCAACACAAAGCTGCTATTAGGACAATATCCAATTCTGGCCCCAGACATCACTCGGTACCCCTACTCAAATCTCTGAATATGTTAGACATTAAGTCACTGCACATTCTCTCATGTGTATTATACATATATAAAACGCTAAACTATAATGCCAATCCTGATCTCAAAAGCTTCATAGAAGGTTGTAACAGAACCCATGAGCACCACACCAGAAATAAATACAGTTTTGATATTCCTAGAGTACGACTTAATCAAACCAGAAATGCTCTACAAATCAAGGGGCCCAGAATGTGGAATGACCTTCCCAACCATGTTAAAGACTGTACCTCTCTCAACCAGTTTAAGTTAAAAACGAAGCTATACCTAATAAATTCCCTGTAACTCACCTTACCCCTCTATTGTCAACCCATGTATGTTTTTTGTTTTTTTTTGTTTTTCAAATCAACGCTGTTTGAATGTAATTTTCTGTAATAATTTGTAATTGTATTTGTGCTGCTTTTTCAACAATGTTCCCCCCTCTTTTACCTCTATTTATATTTGTACTCAACGCGTTTTTTTCTTTTTACCCATTAGTTTTAAGCTTTAGTCATTAGTGTTTTTTCCTGCCCGAATCGTTTTGCGTAATAGTGGCTTTAGGCATTGTATGTACTAGCTCTATCTATAAAGCCAACAAACTTTGTAAAATCTCTTTATGTATGTACCTTTACCTAAATAAAAATTATTATTATTATTATTATTAATAATAATAAGTGAGAGACCACATAACACATAATGGACCCGACCAAAAGGCCGTAAAGACCTAATGAATGAGAAGGGGGGGTGACTACAAGTAGGGCTTACTAGCACCTAGACTGGGATTGGTTTGGATATAGATAGGATTGGGTATAGTCCAGTGTATGGCCTCGGATTCCATAATGATGGAGTTTACGTAAGAGGTAATTGTGATTAACAGTATCAAAGGCCTTTCTCAGGTCAATGAAGAGTCCAATCGGAAACTCATTTTTGTCAAGGGCTGAGTAAATTATATCAAGGAGACTAATAATTGCATCGTTGGTACTCTTTTGAGAGCGGAAGCCAAACTGACAGGGGCTAAGAATGATGAATTTTACGAGGTATAGGAGTAGAGCTGTTTGTAGATAATTGTTTTCAAATATTTTTGATAGTATGGGTAGGTTTGATATTGGTCTATAATTGTTTATGTCTGCCGGATTACCTCCTTTATGAACTGGCGTTACTCTTGCTTTTTTAAGGATATCAGAGAAGGTATGACACTCAAGGGATTTGTTGAACAGCAGAGCTATAGGTGGCGCAAGGGCGTGGGAGGCGCTCTTATATACAATGGATGGGATTTCACTGATGTTCCCAGCTTTGGTTTTTAGTGAGTGTATGATGGACACAACATCTGTCGGGCTGACTGGTGAAAGGAGAAGAGAGTTTGGATAGCTGCCTGAGAGATATGTGTTGATATGTGTCTGAGTCTGTGGGATTTTACTGGCAAGGTTAGCACCAACCGATGAAAAGAAGCTATTAAATTCATTCGCCATTTCTAAATCAGATGACGGTGTAAGGCCATCCTCAGAGAGTGTTATCTGGTTGTGGGAGTGTTGTTTAGTTCCTAGGATATTAGAGATGGTTTTCCATGTGCTTTTCATGTTGCCTTTTGCTTCTTTGAATCTAGTCTCATAATATGAAAGTTTAGCTTTTCTTATGATACTGGTAAGCACTGATAAGTACCATTTAACTACTTCCTTTGTAACTAGGCCAATCCTAAATTTCTTTTCATATTCATGTTTTTTGTTGATTGATTTGATTATGCCACTTGTGAGCCACGGGTTATTTTTTCTTTTATCAGTTACTTGTTACTTTTATCAGTTGATATTCCATGAGTACGACTTAATCAAGCTAGAAATGCTCTACAAATCAAGGGACCCAGAATGTGGAATGACCTTCCCAACCATGTTAAAGACTGTACCTCTCTCAACCAGTTTAATATAAAAACGAAGCACTACCTAATAAATTCCCTGTAACCTACCTTACCCCTCTATTATCAACCGATGTCTGTATTTTTTTTTAACAACGCTGTTTGTCGATCTAATTGTATTTGTGCTGCTTTTTCAGCCATGTTCCCCCTTTTTTATCTCTATTTTTATTTGTTCTCAACACATTTTATTCTTTATACTCAATTAAGTATTAAGCTTTAGTCATTAATGTTTGTCCTGCCCGAAACTCTTTGCGTAA